AGCCCAATCGGTCATCGGTCCAATCCCTTATATATATATATAAATTTACATTAAATTAAATGAAATTAAAAAAAGGTGGCAGAACTGCCACGTGGCACGTTTGGCCAGGTGGCATGTGCGTTTGACATGTGGACACCGCCACCTAAAAGGTGGTGGTGCATGGAAGTCTTCAGCATGGCACGTGGTGTTCAGGCGCCGACGACACGACTGAGATCCAATTTTTTTCATTTTCTCAGTTTTTATTCTTCTTGGAACGTGTGTAGGCTTGTGGGACCTCCATTTTAGATGCGGTTTGTCTCTAAAAATCCCTAAATTCATAGGCTTTGTTATGGTATATAATTTACCTATTTTTTGGGTAATTTTGAATTTATTTTTGAGTATTTTAGTGTATTTCAGGTATTTTTATGTGGTTAAAAATTCTAGAATACCTCTAATAATTTATATTATTAAATTCCCAAAAAAGAGCCAAGGGGATTCAAGCAACACTGAAATTACTAAATATGATTCATTAAACCTCGTATTCCTGGACGATGAACCTGAGGAGGACCCTGAAGAAGACTCAGAGGAGTTAATGGAAGAACAAACACCTGAGGAACCTCAAGTGGTCTACGAAGATTCCAAACCTGAGTTGAAAACTTTATTCCCTATTGAACCCATTAGTGATGAACCTCATCTAGTCTTTAGAGATTTACTTGATCTTCCTGATAAAACTGAAGTTGAGGAAAGAGAAGAGGTGAATCAATTCTGTACCCCTGCTTTAGCTATGAGTATGGCTAAAAGAGATGCAGTTAAACTGACAAACATAAAAGGCATCAATGGCATGCTCGCCAGTTACATCCAATACATGACTGATAAGAAGAATACCGAATTCTACCTTAAAGTCATGATGGAATACATAAGAGCAACAAGGGTTAGAGGTGAACCTAAAGGCAAACCCATAAGGAAATCTTATTGGATTTGGTCTATAGAATTAGTTTCCTCCTTTATGACCAAATCATGCAAACTTAGAAAACTCAGGAACGTAATGCTTGATTATTGTCGTGCTCATATTAAATGATGTAATGTTTGTATTTGCTTTATTAATGTTTGTTATGTTAAGTTTTTGAGTTCATGCATTGTAGACAGACTAATGTCTTATTTTATTTAATGAAATTACTTAAATTATTGTTGAATGATTATTTGTGAATAATATATGTATGCTTTTTATAAGTGGGAGCTTTTAGAAGATGAGACTTCTAAGAGTCGTAATTTTTCTGAAGTGTTTATATAGAATTCTTAATAGAACATAGTGATTATTGCTTGTGTCGTGTGATGGAGGTACAAACGTATGCTTTTGATCACGAATCTTGTAGTGTCATTATTTTATGATCAAGGATAATATAAGTACATGACATTATATACTTTGTCGTGCTATATAATTGTAATGTTCTACAGTACGTCTTTCTTTTAGAGAAAACGTAGAATAATGTGGAATAAATTTGTCACAGAATTGAAAATGGCAACCAAGAACGTAGAATAAAGGGGAAAAGCTTAACGAGGATAACTGGGACATATGGCACCAAAAGGTCCAATACATCTTGGAGGAATAACATGCTGTTGAACCTCCAACCACTACAATGGTCGAACCTGAAGCTGGGAATACGGTCCAATATAGGAGAGATCAAGAGGCTTACCAAGTTTGGAAGAAGAAAAATAGCATAGCAAGAATCACGCTTCTGAGTACAATGGCTAATGACATAATGTGGTGAATTTGAGAGGCACAAAACTGCACAAGCTATGTGGATAGCATTGAAGGATAAGTTTGGTGGTACTTCTACTACTAAACTCAGGAGGTTAACGATTAAGTTCGATACCTACAAACTTAAGCCAAACAATCCTATGAAGCAACATCTGAGAAAGATGGCGAACATGATTAGAGAACTTAAGGAAGCTGGACATGTTCTGTCTGATGTATAGCAAGTGCAGGCTGTTATCAAATCGCTCCCTGCTAGCTGGGAGCATATGAAGGTTAATCTGACCCATAATGAAACATCATTACTTTTAATGATCTAGCTAAGCACTTGGAGCTAGAAGATGAACGTTTAGAGGCTTATAAGACCTTTGGACAAGCTTATTACACTGAGGATGCTAGCACTTCCCAATCAAGGCCCAATTCTAAGAGGGGCAAGAAGTTCCAAAAGAAAGGGAAGAAGGGTGGTTCTCAACCCAAAAAGGGAAATAAGCAATTCAAGAAGAAGGGAAAGAAAGCTGGGAAGAAGAAGCTAGACCTGAAAAAGGTCAAGTGTTTTGCCTGCTAGAGAATGGGCCATTCTGCATGTGACTGTTCAAAATAGACTGAGATAAAAAAGGTATTAGTGAATTATGTGAATTCATATGTTTCATGTGTTCTAGTACTGTTTTTCTAACAGAACCTGTTTCTTCTTCTTGGATTACAGACTCAGGTTGCACAGACCACGTAACCAGGGATCGAGGATCCTTCATCAAGTACCGTTAGTTACCATATCAAAGCAAGTGGCTTTACGTTGAGAATAATGCGAGAATCGAGGTTAAAGGTTTTGGCACCTGCAAATTTATTTTGCGTGGTGGTAAGACCTTGATACTCCATGATGTGCTTTACGCTCCTGACATCCAGCATAACTTGATTTCTGTTCTATGTCTTTTAGAGTTTGGGTTTGACATAAACTTTCATGGTAAAGTTACAAACATTTTAACCAATTCAATCCTTTATGGTTCAACTTTCTTATTTAAAAAGTTCTTTGTTTTGGATGTTGTTGGTGATTTTAATCATAATGAATGCTTTACTATTTCTTCGAGTAATGTTGACATAAACACCTGACATGCTAGACTAGGACATATTCATCAAAATAGAATGATTAAATCAGCCAAAGAAGGTTTGTTAGGTGCTATTCTGAATATGAAAATGTCACTATGTGAGAATTGTCTAGTTGGTAAGGTAACAAGAAAGGCTTTCGGTAAGGGAACAATAGCTGAAAATCCATTGCAATTAATCTATTCTGACATATGCGGTCCAATGAATATGAGGGTGAGACATAGAGTTTGGTATTTTATTACCTTTATTGATGATTTTTCATGATATAGTCATGTCTATTTGTTCTCACATAAGTTTGAAGCGCTAGAGTGCTTCAGATAATACATAAACGAGGTAGAGAATCAAATTGACAATAACATTAAAGCATTACGCACTGATCGGGGTCATGAATATATATCTGAACAATTCAAACAGTTCTGTAAAGAGAAAGGGATAATTAAATAATTAACTATCCTTGGTACTCCACAACAAAATGGAGTTGCCGAAAGAAGAAACGGAACTCTTCTAGATATGGTTAGATCTATGATGGTTCAAACAAACCTGCCAATTTCATGTTAGGGTGATGCTTTATTAATGGCGACCTTTATACTTAACCGTGTGCCTTAAAAATTAGTCACTTTCACACCCTACAAGTTATGGGTGAAATGCAAACCAGATCTAAGCATCCTAAGACCTTAGGGGTCAGCGGCGTATATCCATGACAATTCCCGTAAGTACGGAAAATTAGAAGGAGGGGAAAGAAATATATCTTTATAAGGTACTTTGAACAATCAAAGGGATACGTTTTCATTGGCAAAAATGAAGATGGAGCGGTGACTGAAATAGAATCAAGAGATGCAACATTCATTGAGACTGAATTTCCTAATAGAGGAGATGTTGACCGCACTGTTTCTCTTTATGAGACACAAGAACAAGACAGTGCAAAACAAATTGACAAACCAAAATCATCTAGGTATGTCAGTCTGAGTGGGAGCCAAGAAAGATCAATACCGAGACCTGAATAAAGAAAGAAAGATAAATAAACAGCTCCCGTTAGAAGGAGTAATAGGAAAAGTATTTTCAAAAGACGCTTTCAAATAGAAGGAGAATCTTTCTTAGTTACTCCAGAAAGGGATGATGAGCCCCGTTCTGTACGAGAAGCCTTGTCAAGTCCTGTCAAGGAGGAATGGAAGAAAGCGATGGAAGAAGAAATAGACTCAATGAACAAGAACCAAGTTTGAGTGTTAGTTGATCTTCCAAAACGGCGTAAAGCCATTAGGAATAAGTAGGTTCTCAAGATTAAAAGAAAAGTGGATGGATCAATTGACAAATATAATGCTTAATTAGTGGCTAAGGGATACACACAACAGGAAGGCATAGATTATGAAGATACATTCTCATCTGTTGTGCGTTTCAACTCTATTAAACTTATTCTGGCAATAGTAAATAGTTTAGACCTAGAATTACATCAGATGGATGTAAAAACCGCGTTCCTGAATGGTGACCTAGATGAAGAAATCTATATGGAACAACTATTAGGTTTCATTGAAAAAGGACAAGAGAATAGAGTTTATAAACTCAAAAGATCCATTTATGAATTTTCACAAAGCAATAACCTCATATGACTTCCAGATGATAGAAGAAGGCCACTGCGTCTACATTAAGCAGTTTGAGGGTAATTTTGTTATATTATCCTTATATGTAGGCGATATACTATTGGCCAGAAATAGTCTAGATTCGGTGGTGGTTATTAAAGAATCGCTTTCATCGAATTTTGAGTTCAAAGATATGGGTAAAGCAGAGTATATACTTGGAGTTAAGATCTAAAGAAATCACTCAAAACAAATCCTCTCTATTTCACATGAGAATTACATCAACAAGATTCTTGAGCAATTTAACATGAAAGACTGCAATCCCATAAGTACCCCAATTGCTACTAGACTCCTTGAGTCTTGACATGTGTCTCAAAATCAAGTATGATAAAAAGAAGATGGAAAGAGTTTCATATGCCAGTGCTATTGGCAGTCTGATGTATGCAATGATATGTACAAGACCAAATATCTGTTATGCAGTGGGACTAGTAAGCAGATTCCAATCTAACTCTGGTGAAAAGCATTAGAAAGGAGTGAAGAGGATCTTGAGATACTTAAAGGGCACTTCTAATTATGTACTGTGCTACGAAGGAAGCGATATGTGCCTTGTTGGGTACTCCGATACTAATATAGGCAGAGATGAAGATGAACGAAGGTCAACTTCAGGTTATGCCTTCTTGCTAAACAATGGCACTATGTGTTGGAGCAACAAGAAGCAAACGTGTATTGCCTTACATTCAATAGAAGCTGAGTTTGTGGCATGTGCCACAATAGTGCAAGAAGCTTTATGGCTGAAAAGGTTTATAGAACACCTTGGATTTAGAGACAGGAGTACCAATACGGTATTAGTACACTGTGAGAATACTGCAACCATAGTCTATACCAAAGATCCTAAGTATCACAGCAAGACCAAGCATATTGACATCAAGGTTTGGCACTCTCACAGTTTTTAATGTTTAAATTTGTTATTCTATTATTTTTCTCCTTATTAAAATGCAGAATTTTATTGTAGGAGCGTAATCTTGCTAACAGATAGTAATAACTAATAAGAGATGAATACTGAATAATTCCAGTCTAAGATTTATTCACTAATGAATCTTTCTATTCTTTTGTTCATAGTCAAGCTATCTTTAGAGTTTTCCTTCTTGTTCCTACTTGCATTGTAAAAATTGAAGCATTTTCTCCTTGAATGGTAGATGTTTTCGTGATTGGGATCTTATGGCCTTGACATCTTTGTTGGGTGTGTATGATGCACGGAACAAACTTGTACTATATTTGTTATTTCAATCTAGTGCGGTTCTTGAATTCTTTAAAAGTGATGGGAAAAGCCCTCTTCTGCTTGGATTTGTTTGTTACTTGTCAGAAACATAGGTTTGGGTTCCTTTTGCAGAAAGAAGGCACATATAAGGGGGAAAAAAGTTCAATGCCATCTGCCACTTTTTTGGTTACCAAGCCCGAGGTTCTCTGCCATCAAAATTTGATTGTGACTATGCATATGTATGTTGATCAGTTTCCCTTCATTTGCTGCTTTTAGCATATTCTGTTAGTGGGTTGCCCATGTTGTTTATAAATATTTTATATTATTGCAGGTTCTTGGACACATCTGCTACCATATACTTGCAGCTGGTCTAAATGGCTACATGGCAACTGTTACCAACCTGAAGAATCCTGTAAACAAGTGGCGCTGTGGGGCTGCTCCAATCACAGTACTTCTTAATTCTTTTCTTATTCTTTGCTAGTATTTGATCCACGGTTCACAACTGTGGGGTAATTCATGATTTATTAGATTATACGAAATGCTTTCCGTGCTGGAGAATCTTTACTTGTTTTGTCTTTCATGTGATGCACTTTAGGCTATGATGACGGTGAAGCGTTGGTCGCCAAATCCTGGAGCTGTATCAATTGGAAAACCTGCTATTCATCCAGCCAATGTTGACTTGAGAGGCAAAGCATACGAGTAAGTCTCATTGTCATTCTGCGTTATGTTTATTTATATGTGTGCTAGTATATGGTAATTGCAGGTTTCTAATCAGTTTCATTAGTATGTCTGTTACTTGGTTTCATTTCTTGGGAGTCATCATCTGGCTTACTGTGAGTCATGGTCATGGTTGCAGGCTGTTGCTGCAGAACACATCAAGATTTCTTATGGATGATATCTATAGAAATCCAGGTCCACTTCAGTTTGATGGTCCTGGTGCAGATGCCAAGGCTATCGCTCTATGCGTTGAAGATATGGACTATATGGGCCACGTTAAGAAACTTCAGGAGTACCTTGACAAGGTTCCAACTCTTTATCTTAACAGTCTGTTTGAGCCATTTAAGACAATTTATCATCCAAACGTTTGCAAAATAGTGAACTGTTTGACTGAATCAACAGACAGGGGACCCAAACCTCATCATGATGTGCCGTATGAGGAGCATATCACTTTCCATAAATGATTATCAGCTCCTCTTTGGCATGATTTTATTTATTCTTCAGTTACATGTCTTTCTTTGATTGATAGATAATCTCTGTCTTTGTTATGCATTTACATCCAATGTGCTTCTCATGGCTTTCTCCTTGCCTCTTCAGGTTCGTACTATTGTAAAGCCTGGATGCCCTCAGGATGTTTTGAAAGCAGCTCTTAGTGTGATGTCTTCTGTTACAGATGTTCTAACCACTATGTCTCAATCTTCTGTAAACAGCATGGCATGACCCTTCATGAGTAGTATATGCACGATGTATTTTCTCTGAAAATTTTCCAGCATAATTGCCTTACCTCTTTTATTTTATTATGTTTTTATATTAGGCCTAGAGGTTGGTGGTAATAAAGATTTAGATCTGATACATTGGGTGCATTTCAATGTCAAAGTTTTGAATTCTTTCGGTACTTGTAAGCGGGATCCTAGACCTAAGAGTTCCGTGTGGCATTTTTTGGAAATTTGGTTTAGCTTGGTGACTCTGATTATTTCTCCCGTCGTCACCCCAAAAGAATTTCAGTGTTCGTTAATCCTTATTCCTCGTAATCTTCGGCCAAAATAACAAGGTAAATCAGGAATTTTAAAAACATCCCAATTTGATTGGGAAACAAACCTTTATATAGGCTAAAGTTGGAATTATCTTCCAAATACCAACTCGTAGATAGAAACCCTTGGGTTTGAAAATAGGTGCTATTTTATTATTATTATTATTTTAGAAAATAACGAACATTATCATTATCAATAAATTTATTTATAATTATAATTTTCTTATTCGAAGTATTTTTTTTTTTCCGTGAAAGAAGGAAAAGCGGGGTCGAGCCCTTTACGCGATCGTGATTATCCTTCCAGGTCTTCCTAGACCTTCACCATCTTTCCTTATGCGGGCTTCCAACTTTCCTTGGGAGGAGACTGCCAAATTCTTCGCTGTAAAGGCCGGTTAGGACATATGTTTACTTGAACATGCTGTTGTCAAAGTCAAAAGTTGATTCTCTATGTTTGACGTTTTGATGTTTTTAACTAACAAAATCGTGTTGATTAGCTCTTAAACTCGTGATATTTATAAACTCGGTTAAACTTATGAGTTCCATTTATCGAGTTTACCGTTTTTACATTTTTAACTTACAAAATCGTGTCAATTTGTTTTTAAACTTGTATTAAATTTTGTAATTTAATTATATTTAGTGACTTTATATATGAATTTTATAAAAATTTCTTTGTTGAATATAATAAATTATAAACATTGATGGATATAGTTTTAATTATTTAAGTTTAAAATATATTTAAATAAAATTGTTCTTATTTTTATATCTTAATTATTTGATTATATACTTTTAATACCAGTTTATTAATAAAAGTAAACTCTTATGAGTTCATAATCCGAGTTTATATTATTATCATGAGTTTATTTAAACTTGCGAGTTTGACAACCTTACTTGAACACATGTCGAAATTGAACTGTCCATTCCCGCTGTAATATCTCCTTCATGCCTTGTCCCACCGCATAGCAATTTGTGATCAGCTCGTGATTGTTTATATCCTCATCGCAGTCAACTTGGAGACACAGCTTCAGACCTTCGCAGATCCCCTAAACTCCTGCATTTCTGGCGTTACTGTAACCGAGTCTTTCAGAAAATCCTTGAAGCCACCCCACGGTCCCCCCCGGCTCACTCCTCCCCAACAGCTTCCCCAGTACTCGAGCTTGGCTATTCTTTGATTGGTCTCTCAATATTCTGTGGTCTCTGAAATTCCTGTTGATGAATACGAGCATTCCTCCATTTTCATATAAACCAGCAGCCAATCGCAAACAGTTCTGGCCCTCTTCCGTGTTGCCGCTGTATTCCATGTTTAACTTTAACCAGCTCAGCCAATCTGCAAGTTGAAACATCCTGTCTCTCCCGTGGGGAACGAGCTTCTTCCATACCTGTACCACAAATGGACAATCGCGCAGAGCACGGAGTGTGGTTTCTTCGGATAGATCACAATTCACAGTAAACATTTCCTCCATCCCACTGCTTTGTTAAGCTTTCGGTGAGAATTCTGTTATTAAGAACCAGCCACATAAAGGTTCTCACCCTCTCTGGAGTTCTCAGTTTCTAAATCAGTTTCCATTGGTTATGATTATCCTCGTCGTCCCCTCTTTGCAGCCAAGCGTAAGTACTTGCTTTTGTGAACTGACCATTTCCAGTTAGACGCCATGTGGGTGAGCTCTCTGGAGAATTCGTGGTCCCTTCTCTGGAGTTCTCACCCTCTCTATTGCTCTCTGGACAACGTGAGATCCTCTTCCACATGCGGCTTCTTCTTCTTCACTTTTGCTCACTCTGGGAGCTCAGCATATTTTATCAACTATCTATCAAATTTAATATGAGCTTGGAATGTCTTATTCAATTGATAACTGACGAGATAACCACAGAAAGCATGTTTTATATATATATATATATATATATATATATATCTCTCTCTCTCTCTCTCTCCCTCTCTCTCCCCCCGCTTGAACCTTTTCGTTGATAATAACATACATAAATGCAGAAAGTCAAAACCATTATATTAAGATATTGTAATTTAAGAATTTAAGTTTATGCATTAAACAATTCATTTAAATACTATTGAGATACCAGATAAATTTAAATAAATCAGTCAAATTGATTTGAAAAATATAATTTAGTTATTAAAACAAACAACCCGATTATTTAGCTTTTGAGCACTTCAATATCGAATATCCCATCTCTTTATTAAAATATTCTGATTTATTGATTACTGAATGCCATGGTGTATTATAAGAATTAAGAACAATAAATTAAAGTTGATGTCTTCTAAATAAAAATTGACTAATTAAACCACCTTTAATATTATTTATTTTTTAAAAACAAATTATGGGCACGAATGTATATTATTAAGATTTTATTTTTCAATCAAATTAAATCATATTTTTTAATTAATAATTTTCTTACACATATCTAATAAACTATTTTCACACCGTAAGGAGCCAATACAAAAATATGAAAGCCCTTTTTTTAAATGGTGAAACTATGAACATATTATTTCACTTCAGTTTTTTTTTTGAAATGTTGCAAGAGTACCAAGAGTTTTTTTGTTCCCCAACAACAGTACAAATAGTTATTACGGCATGGTAAAACTATTTTTAATAAATTAAATATTAAAATAAAAAAAATAATATACTATAAGTTTTGAGGATTACTGCCCACTATGGCAACCCTGGTTTGGCCCTTAAACTTATTTAAATTAAAGAAGAAGAAAAAAGAAGAATTTTTTTTTCCCATCAAGAATTTCCTCATTCTTGATGAAAATTCTTGATGCAACTATAGTCTATATAAGATGAGGTTTTCATCTATCCATCAATTATCACAGCTGATGAAATGGACCAACCAAAAAATATATGAATAATTTCTTTGTATTGATGAAATTGATTCACACCAACAAAGTGGCTACAACCCAAGTATATATAGACAACAAGTCCACCGAAAGCCCAAGAAGGGACTGTAACAGAAAACCACCTACTCACTACAAAATATATACAACTGGACTAATAAATTAAACTAATCCTGATTAACATTATGTAACAACTGAATATTTCCAACACTCCCCCTCAAGTTAGGAACTCTATATTCACAAGTTCCTAACTTGCTTAAAATATATTCATGTTGTGGTCCACCGAGAGCTTTAGTCAGAATATCAACAAGTTGTTCTTCTAATCTAACATGCTTGAAACTAATCATTCCTGCTAGGAGTTTCTCTCTTACAAAATGACAGTCAATTTCTACATGTTTAGTCCTCTCATGGAAAACCGAGTTAGAGGCTATGTGAATAGCAGATTTGCTATCACAATATACTATTACAGGTTCAATTCCATAGACTTGTAGTTCTTTCATCAAAACCCATGCTCTTAGAGGGTGTTCTATTTATCAAGTAAGCAGCTGTCCTAACCCCTTCTCCCCAAAATTTTACAGGCATTTGAGACTGAATCATTGTATTTCTTGTTACATTTAACAGGTGCCTATGTTTTCTCTCTATGATTCCACTCTATTGAGGGGTAAAAGGACAAGATCTTTGATGAATGATGCCTTCACTATCAAAGAATTGATGCGTTTGAGTATTAACAAACTCTAGACCATTATCAGTTCTAACAGATTTAATTTTAGCAGAAATTTGATTTTCAAAATAGGTAACAAGTGTCTTTATAAACTTTTCAGCATCAGATTTATAATGCATTAGGAAAATCCATGTTGCTCTTGAGTAATCATCAACCACAGTCAAAAAATATCTATATCTTTGATGTGTTGGTGTCCTATGCGGGCCCCAAACATCAATATGTAACAACTGAAAGCAAGCAAAAGACTTAGAATCACTAGAAAGAAAAGGTAATCGAGGTTGCTTAGCCTGAATGCATATTTCACATTTGTCATTATCAAAAATACAATTTGAAACTTTCACATTATTCAAATGTTTCATAACATCTAAGGGCACATGCCTAAGTCTAGAATGCCAAATAGTAAAATTCACAGTGTTCACAATTTCAGCTTTTGTTGATAAGGTTCACACAATCAAATATATTTTCTCTTCTCAGTAAGTATAAACTTCTGCTAAGTCTACCAATCTCTCTGATCATCCCATTGAAAATGTCCTGCAACACACAAATGTTAGGAAAGAAAGAAGCCACAAAGAAACTATCAAGAGTAAGTTTGGCTATGGAAATCAAATTGTAATAGAATGCTTTTGCATACAGAACATTCTTTAAGAAAATTGTTTTAGTGACTCTAACTTCCCCTATATGTGTTATCCGGATCCTTTCTCCACTAGAAACTTTGACCTATTTAGGAGGACCAATATAGAGTATATAATTATCTAAATACCTTCAACTGCATATGATATTAGGGAAGGAACGTACGGACCGGCTAGAATCAAGTAATGAACGGACGGTTGATCTAGGTAGGACCTTAAGAGAACATATCTCTTACAATCCTAGCCATAAAGACACCACAAGGTTGATCACTCTCTTGATACTGTCGAGTATTCTCACGAGAATACGAGGATGCAAGTAAGGCTCACACAAAAAGAAATAAAATTCTCATATTATTCAAAATCATCTCTTTAAAAAGAATACATACTGAATTATTTATAAACTAAAACTCTTGAAAACCCTAATATGAAAATCCTAATTGATAACCTAAGCCCTAAAAGCCCAATATAAGTTTTTAGAGCCTAAGACACTAACAAAATAAAATGCATCAAAAATAGATTCGAAAATACAACAAAATTAGGAAAATCAAAAGACTTTCTAGAATACTCTAACTTGCTAGTCAAGATAGAATAATCTAGATCACATACCACCTACCAGGATCCCTTCATTAATGAGAAGGATATTGTTTGACTCTCTACTAATTAATGCAATACAAAATAAGTAAGTCTTTGCCTTTAAGAAGCAATCAATACAAAATAGGAAACTAATTAAAACAAATAGAATCCTATTTAA